TATATATGTGTATGTATATATATGTGTATGTATATATATGTGTATGTATATATATGTGTATGTATATATATGTGTATGTATATATATGTGTATATATGTGTATATGTATATATATGTGTATATGTATATATATGTGTATGTATATATGTATATATATGTGTATGTATATATATGTGTATGTATGTATGTATATGTATGTGTATATGTATGTATATATGTATATGTATGTGTATGTGTGTATATATACATACTTCACTGTAGTGCTGGGAAGCTTAATTTAAGATAATATATCATTTAGTCAACTTATATTTTGTAATCTGCAGATTAACCAGTAACTAATGCTATTTAAATATAAAGTAAGTTAGAAATATAAAGTGGCATGAAATGGAAATAGTCCTTAAAATACTGTCGTGAATCTTATTTATATTCCACCTTTACAAAATCAAGCCTCAATCAAAAGGAAGAAACATCAAAATCAATTGTTTTCCATAAACAAACAAGATGACGTTGTTGTGCAGTAGATCTGCATCACCTCAAACAGCAGCGAGACAGGTGAAGCCTTCAACATGTTTTTATTGACTTTTACGATACGATGTCATCGGACTCGCTGCGGTTCAACAGAAAACATCCGTCACATTCCTCCAACAAGACACACTAAAATAATATTCACTGCAGAAAGAAAGAAAGCTCTCGCGTTACAACTCAAACTATATTACAGCGTCTCCTGGTTCACAAACTTTCATTTCATTTCCTAACCAGGAGAGAAAAGTTCATCTGCAGTTTTACAAACGATGGAAATATTCAGTGAACACCACAGAAAAGGATCGAGAAACACTTTATTTTATGAGCCTCTAATATCTTAATGTCCCGGAAAGATCTATGTACTCTGGTGATAATTCTGAACGTTATTCTCCATAAATCTATTTAACCCATACCAGTTTAGCCATTATTGGAAGTCTCTATTTTCTTCATAATTAGTGTCACATTATATAGTCCTTTCATTTAAATGATGGACTATATAGTCAAATTAAAAAGACAATTTCCAAGATAAATTGTTGAATTCTAAGAAAAAAAGAACTGTCAGATTTTTGACAATCGTATATTTTAGTTTTCTTTGCTCTAATGCTGCGTTCAGGTCATGTTGGAGTTACCGTAATCACCAGTCGTACGACTTGTAAAAAACATTCAAGCGAACATCTCGGTCGTAACGACGACTTAAAACAGATTTTTCTAAAAGCTCTAGAAGTCGATCATGATCTCTGTTCCTGAAACGAAACACATGGAAGCCTGTCGTACGTTATTTCATAGTTGTAATGATATTGTTTGTATTCTACGGACAATATGTTTAACCCTCGCATTACCAACTCTGTGATTATACAACATGTAGAGTTTATGCCTCAAACGAGCACATTGAAGCCGCTATCCTGATCTGATGGCTTCACTACGGCCGACAAACGGGAAACAAAGAAAGACAAAGCAACTTTCCCTCAGTTGTGCATCCACAGAAACATTTCAAACAAACGCACAGCTTCAGTCTGTAAACAGAAACAGCTGAAGACGTCCAGTTCTGAGGATGAAAATCGAAAACCATTTTCTGTTCCTGTGAGTTTATAAACAAGCAATGTATTGCCAACTGTACGGACATATTCTGAGAGAACACAGCTTTTAAGAAGACAGTTAGCCTCTTAGTAGCAGCTTAACTGTTGGCAAAATCAAATCATTTTTCAAAATATAACTTTCTTGAAGGATTGCAACTTTGTTATCACAATATTTACCTTTTATCATAAATCAAAGTCTTTCTTCTGAAGTTATGAAATTGTCCATGTAACATTTTGCCTTTTTTGAATTTCATACAATATTTAGGACAAACGTCTGATTTATTTTAGTTCTCTCTTACGTCCCATAAATTGGTGCCAGACTGCGGAGTTCTGCCCAGAAACCTCTAAGAGTTGAAAGCATCATGTCAGTTCATCAGTAAATTAATATCAGGCGGTGCGACCTGCAAAACAAAATGTTACCAAAGAATTCATTTTGGAAGCTGCTACCGAGTAAGGTGGAACAAAAGAGGAAGTTGGTTGCTGTCCAACCAACCAGAGAGCCGTCGGGGTTCAAAACGATGCCGACCAATCAGCTGTGAGTGTTGTATTCTCGGTCAAGCTTCTTTTCTGGGAACAAATTAACTAATTTTTTTATCTAACGACAAAATGAAATATTTAAAGTAAAGCTCTCAATAGTTTCCCTCCAGTTATGGCCCTCCTACTATTCCCAGAATCCCTTTCAATATCACCCAGAGAAGAGGGGCGGGACCTCTGTCCTGCTCTCTGATTGGATGCGGGGCCAGTTGAGTCTATAAAGTCTTAAGGAGCAGATAGGTCGGATCGTCCGACTTCTGAGTGCCCCTTCAGAGGGTCGAGCCTCACCACCACCACCCGCCTCTTCTTCGGATCAGACCCTTCTTCATCATCATCCTCCTCCACCTCCCCCCTCTCCTTCACCTTTCGCTTTGCTCTCTCCTTCCTCTTCTCCTTCTTTGCCTTCTTCTTCCTCCTCTTCTTTTCCTTCTCTGTCTTCTCCTCCACTGCCTGATCCTCCTCTTCCTCTTCCTGCACTACATCCTGCACTTCCTCCTGTTCCACTTCTAACTCCTCCACTGCCATCTCCATTTCATCTTCTTCCTCCTCCTCATTTTTTTCTTCCTCTGCATCATCCTCCTCCTCCTCCTCATCATCTTCATCTTCTTCTGCATCCTCCTTCTCCTCCTCCTCTTCTTCCTCTTCCTCCTCCTCTTCCTCCTCGATATCCCCTTCCTCCACATCTGTCATCTGTTCTCCTTTCGGCAGCTGTAGTTTGATCTTCATCCTCTGTCGTCCGTTCTGTGCCGACTGTCGGGATCAGAGCATTTTCGATATATATATATATTCTTCTGTTGTAATCTTTAATCAAACTCTGGCACAAGATTTTCCTTCTGGATAAATCAAGCGTTATCTCATCATAGTTGAATTGTGCAAACACATAAAAACATCTGGCTGCAGCCAACATGTGTGTGTAAACACGTCAGATACTCACCGCCTTGGTGCCGTTCCGCAGCCTGTGCAGCAGTAACCGGACGGTGTCTTTGTTCTGACACAGTCCCATGGTGTTGAGTGCGTCCAGGGCGGAGCCCGAGCAGCCCTGCAGGCGGAGCTCCGCCCCCAGAGCGGCCTGCAGGAAGTTGTTCTTCCAGATGTTCCTAGTGAAGAGCGGGATGGAGAGCGCCACCACAGCCCGGCGCATCAGCAGCGTCTGGGCCTGATCCTCTGACATCTGACTACCACACGAAACAAACAGAGCACAGAGGAGGTCTTAGTAGATGTTTTCTTGCTGAGATTGAAATGAGCCACCACCACCAGCAGGACTCCTCAACTCTTCCGCCCCAATCCCCCGAGCTAACTCTTCAACCTGAGACTTACTGGCTGCTCTTGGACAGAGCGTTGATGTCGGGGAACAGCGATGTGAGGCAGGTGGTGACGAGCGGAGCTTTGTCCTGAGCCCAGCTCAGACAGCGCCGCCAGGGGAAGGACGACAGCGGCTTCCTGCTCGACACCTTCTGGTGGAAGGGATTGTCCGTCTGTCGCGTCAGCGCCTTCATCTGCACCACCACCAAGAAACACAGCACGCAACAGTGGAAAAAAAAAAATTGCATTATGAAGAATTAAAGCAGGATGCGTTTGTCCTGATCGACCAGGAGGAGCCTTCGTCCTCACCTCTTCTTTCAACTGTTTGCTCCAGAACTCCAGCATGGGCTTCCGGGCGCCTTTAGCGGACCAGAGCATTTTGAAAGCGGACTTGTAGCACGACTTGCTCACCAGCAGCGCGGCTTTGCTCTTCTTTCCCATCCGGCGGCCTTTCTTCTTCCTGTCCCTCACCTCTGGCTGCAGTCACACAAAGGTCAAACCTTCTCAATGCATCCCAAAGTGACTCGATCATATCAGTGTGTAAGTAAACTTTACAGCCGGGACCCTAAACCCCCTATGTGGAGGATTATCTAGTGCGCTAGTTGGCCACTTCAGCTCATTATTTTCATTTGGTTACGACTTCATTTCTTATCCAAAAAAGATGTTAATTAGGGGTTTACTTGTATATTTGTATGTACATTGATTGTTCCTGTGTTGTATAGAGCAAAGAGATGTAACCTCTGGCTATATATTCCCTTTGTATTTGGAACCAGGGAACATTTATCAGGGGAAATGCATTAAAAACAGGATCACGTGTTGTTAAACAATGTTCATCTGAGTTTCATATCGAGATAGTGTCACACACACGCACGCGCACACACACACACACCTGATACGGTTTCAGCCACATAGCTCTCTTCCCATTCTGTTTCCGTTTGCATTTGGTCCTGATGACCTGCGCACACGTCTCGCACAGGAAGGACTTGTCGTGCACGGTTGTCGTGGAGTCCGGGAACACCCAGTGCACGGCCTCCGCCGTGGTGAAGGTGAATACCGCCCTCCGGTTGAAGCTGCGGCCCTGTTTCTCAAACGCAACCTTGCAGGCGGAGCAGCTCCTGTCCTCCGGCCGCTTGGGACGCCGGCGGCCGACTCGATGAACCTGAGAGACGACGGTCGCAGCAGCAGCGAATTCCGTGGCGTCGTCTGTCTTTCGGGGGCCTTCTTCTTCTTCGGCCTGCAGCGGAGTAAACGAACACACGTGGTTTACAGGTGGACAGTCCACCTCCGCACCCACCGTCGTTGAGCTTTCTTGCACGACGACTCCGCCGTCTGCAGCATCCGTGGACGTGGAGTTATTGGCCGCAGTAGTTTCGGCATAGTCGTGCTCGGACGCGGCAGCCGCATCGTCATCTTTACCTAACTTCGTTTCGGTCTTTTTAGTCGCCATGACGACAACGGAGAGCCTCCAGGTTTTTTTTTAAGTTGCAACGACTCCAGGAGCAAATGGAAATCGCAAGAGACGTGATCCAACCGGATGTAGCCGCAGATAAACAATGTTTATTTTCCGTGTTTTATGTTAACTGAGAGGCCGCTGGCGCCCCCCGGTGTTAGGGGGCCGGTACTACGTCTTCTTCTTCTTTAAGGTTTATTTGCGGTTGGCAAACAATGAATTGGTGCATTACCGCCACCAACTGGTCTGGAGTGTGGATCAGGATGTCTAGTACTTACTGTATAGTATAAAAAATAAAATGAAAGAAATTAAATGAAATAAATAAGAAAAAAAAACAACTGGCTCATATTTTCTTAATACTATTAGTTAGTCTAAATTGAAATAATACTCCTTTTTTTTTTTCTTTTGCGGAATATCCACTACATCAAACCGTACCTCCATCTTGCCGAGGTCTCCAATCAGCTCCCCTCTTTCCTGCTCATATTTCTGACATTGCACAATAATGTGTTCTATTGTTTCATGTTTCTGACATTGCACAATAATGTGTTCTATTGTTTCATGTTTCTGACATTGCACAATAACGTGTTCTATTGTTTCATGTTTCTGACATTGCACAATAACGTGTTCTATTGTTTCATATTTCTGACATTGCACAATAACGTGTTCTATTGTTTCATATTTCTGACATTGCACAATAACGTGTTCTATTGTTTCATATTTCTGACATTGCACAATAACGTGTTCTATTGTGTCCTCTTGCCCACAATAGTCGCATTGGCCTGTTTCATGTTTACCTATTTTTTGAAGCATACTGTTTAGGCCAAGGCAGATACTACATGTATCTACTGTTTATTTAAAGGATGGATGGACACTTTCTTCAGCTAAAATATTTAATATAAATATTTAAATTAAATAGTAACTAATTCTGTTTTTCATTTCTGCCTCTGGATTAGCATTTAGACTTTGTTTACATTAATAATCAGCACAGATTGAAGACCATGATCTCGGTAAAATGAATTTATAAAATGATTTTGTCATGCATTCAAACTTGTACTTAAAGCTACTGTAGTGGAAAATTTCTATGATTAAGCGGGAGAAGAGTCAAAGTTTTCAATCTATGTCAATAAACAGAGTCTTGAGAGAATCAACGTTGTTTGTCTTTTAATGCTTGCAAGCAGGACAGCAGTTCGACAGACACGTATCTCAATGTACTGTCAAAAAGCTTCGTCAAAGTGCAATATTCAACATCATTTATGCATACAAAAGGTTCACGCCTTTACAACTTCAGATAATGTGTCAAAAGGGGAGTATAAGTATTTCAGACACAGGCTGTCTGTTTCTGCTCATTAGATATTTCCGTCAGGGCATTCAGTTCTGGAGTCAAGGTCTCTCTGTGTCTTTGTCTTACCAACAAAGAGCATCATTGCAGAACTGTGTTCCTCACTTTCAGTTGTACATTCTTTAAAACTTCACATGATACTATAACATATTTTCCCATTACACTACTCTTAGGAACTTTTATTTATTGTTGATTGGGGCAGTCCCTGTGGACGGAAGCATTAGTGTTTCTGAGCATCATATTATTAGGATAAACATTTACTAAAGGAACAAAAAGTAGAGTAATCTTTCTGCCCATTTCAGAATCTATTTTATAGTAATTATTGATGCCTTACTGTGTACAACCCTTTAATATTGCAGCTGGTAACGGTGGAGCTCATTTTAATGGTGTTATATACTGCTAGGTAACTTAACTATACGATATCATCACTTATAACTTGATTTTTATTTCGTATTAATAATCTAAACGTAGTGGAGTAAGAATTAATGTACAATATTTGAATCCAGAATTTAGTGGACTAGAAGGAAAAATGGCAATACTCAAGTAAAGTACATTTAAATGGTATTTAAGTACAGCACTTGAATAAATTCACTTTATTACGTTCCAGCATTGACACTGACTATAATATATACTCATGTTTCTACTATTCATATCTGTATATTGATAATAACGACTCTTATTTTGACAGGTCTTACCGGAAGTCTTCTCCTATTCGACGCGTGCTTGACAGAACTGTAACTGATGGATGTAAAAAGGCTATTTTAGCTCGTTAGCTAGATGTTCTACCTTCCACCTGTGTGTCGTGTTAAAGCAGTGATGGAGCAGTTATCGGTAAGACCGAACAGATCTTATTATTACATTAATTTTAAACGGATCAAAGTGACGGTGTGACGTATTCTTGCTCCTTCATGTATTTACATTATGTTGCAAAATACAAACGTGTCACAGCGTGTTTGACGCAGTGTCCAGTTCAACTAACACCAAACTACAGCCTCTAAAATGACCACATTTAGCTTAAATCATCGTCAAAATCAGCTGAATATGATCACTGTACACATGTGTATGCGCTTGTGTATTCATTTAAACTACTTATTTACTTTATTTTTTAAATACATGTAGTGTTGGGAAAAATGAAATGTTTGCCTCTGAAATGTAGTGGAGCAAAGTATATAGAAGAAGAAAATGGAAATACAAGTACAGTACAAGTACCTCCTGTACAGATACCAGTAATCAATTAGCTGATAAACTGTTTCTGCTCCATTACTGATGAGTAATAAAACATATATTTTCATTATTGAGGGTTTTAATTGTAGCATACTCTTGCTAGTTCCTTAAGATCACCAAACCCTCGCTTTAAATTGGTTAAGTTAGTAAATGTCTGTAATGTGTTTCATGACCCTGATGAGAGCACAATGAGATGTTAAAATGTGTGTCAAATTTAAAGTCAACCAGAGTTACAGTGTGAAGGATTTCCATGAATTCATTACAGCGCCACCATGTGGCTGATTGCAGTCATACTTCTTGTGAAGCACTTCCACATTAATCTCCTGTTGACCACCATGAGACCTTATTTGTACAGTTGTCAACGACGAGAGACAAATCGTTTTTTATCCCATCTAAAAATTTGCCATAAATTACACATTTGATGACATTTGATTTGATTAAATGACAATTTTGCATGTCAAATATGTGGCATTTTGTAATAAACCTTTTGAAGTTCAAGACTGTGAACATATGTAATTAGAAAGAGTAAACATCCATTAGTTGAATAAATTATGTCTCTCAGTGAAGCTGTGATTGTTTCGTACCGGGATGTACTCACACAAACAACAGGTTGTGATCGCTTTTTTTTTGCTTTATGGCTGAATAATTAACTCATCAGGTAAGATAACGTTACATTTGTGCATGGGTACAACCAAGTTACTGAGCCAGCTAGCTAGCCAAGGTGACGGCTTGGTGACATGTACTGTGTGAGACACCAGATGTAAAAAATAATAACAAACCGACATAAACTCAGCAGGGGCTTGAATCTAATAATCAACACATATTACTAGGGTACTAGACTCATTTTTAAACCCTTTTGTTATTCTGCATCAATGCACAATATTGCACAAATATTCACAATTCTTTTAGCTCTGGTTTGGTCTCAATGTTCCACTTTCTTCACCAGCTAAAAGCTTTAACTTTGTCTGGGTGTTGTTTGGTGCTGCAGTGGGTTTATCAGAGCTTGTTTCATGAAAACAGCTGCTGGAAACAATGTTGATGAGAGCAGTGAGACTGGAAAACCAAAACAATAAAGCTTTATTTTATAACTGAAAGACTACAACGATTGTAGCCTCTTTTCGCTTTATAGCTGGAAAAAGCTACAGGGCGAAAGCGAGACCTCTGTAGGCTACTTGGTTAACGGCACGAGGCTACATGGTGCTACCAGTATAACACACACAAACCTCTGAATAAAGTGTCACCAGTTGAGTTGCATTGTGGGCAATGCAGGTGCCATTTTTTTGACAAAGAAGAAGATTGCATGCAGTAAAAAAAGTCTCTGGTGCTGCTGCATGAGTTTGCAGGATGCTGAAAATGTAAATTGAGAGATCCTCAGCCTGAAACACAGCTGAGTCTCATTTGCGATGAACGATATTTAATCGCAGCTCGTTAAAAACGTTGTGCGTCATTAATCAATTTGTCTGTTTTACAAAAAATCTGAGTTTTGTTTCTGAGATTTAAGGACGGAGGTCCACAGCTCTTCCTCCTGTTCCTCACTGGCTTGGCACACGGTGAACACACATCAGTTACACAAGACTGATCAGCCGGATGATGAAGTCTGGACCACGGCAACGCAGCCACATCAGCTGGGTCGCTTATCCCCATGGCAACCGTCTCATCGACCTCTCGTTGCAGGTGTTGGTGGAGACGATGTCGTCGACGGTCTGACCCCGAAGAGAAGCAACGCTGCAGATGGAGAATGGAGACCTAGGTCACATGGTACGTGCGAGTCATGTTTTCCGGTCTGAACTGTTCTATGAAGGTATATTTGTGTCTTTTATTATGCAAACAAAGAGTGAAGTGCTGCTACATTTGAGATCATTTTAAACAAATCAGCAATATAATGTCAACTGACCTCCATGTGGCTCATCACAGTAACCTCCCGTCAGTGTTTACAGTGGAAGCAGATACCAAGAGCCAAATCGAACCCACCAATAGAAACTCCCGGCTCGTTCAGCAGCGTATGCCCCGCCCACTACATCCAAACTCAACTCGTAGGGTTTTGATTTGCAGCCAAATGTTCTCGTTTCATAAGCAAAACTGACAAATAATTTATTCTCCGTTTATATATTTTTACTTACAAACTTGATTTTTGATTGCAGTGCGAGAAATTTGCTCTCAAAACATTTTTTGTTTGTTTGCGTAATAAAGACACAAATATACCTCCATACTGTTCCCACTTTCTGGCAGTTCAGCCTTTGGCTAGTTGAACAACGGCTGTGTTCAAAATCTCATATTACTGTTCTACATACTACAAATTACATACTCTATCAGTATGTCCTGCGTACTAAATTAACGATTAGGTTTTCGCTGCATCACATGACCGTATCGACCGCAACATTACAGGTTGAAGCTACTGTTCAATGTAAATTGGAGCTGTATTTGAACATTAATATAGTGTTAAGACATCTGTAAAGATATAGCTCTGTCAGCACTTTCACTGTAGTTTGCGCTGTTAGCACTGTTAGCACTGTTAGCTACGAGCCTCTGGTTCGCCGTCGCCATGTTGAGAGCCGTTGAGAACCAATTGAAATGCTCATAGTCTCGTATCTTGCACTTTCAAATATCACTCATATAGTGTCAATATACTTTTAACGGTAAATTATATATTTCCATCGTTAAAATGCTCACTGTTCTTTAGAATGTTAATATCATCACTACCAATAGAAATGTACACATCCCATGTACATAGTGATTGGTCATGTTTACCGTGCTCAGCTTTGTTGTCCTTGTTTTTAGCTGTTATGTCTGAGTTAAACTCTTTGTATCAGCACACACTCACTTGACCATTAAAGCTGATTCTGGTGCATCCTGGCATGCACAACATACTCAATTTGTTTCCCTCCATTTAGTATGAATAGTATGTCTGTATGCAATTTTCTACACAGCCAACGTCTGACATTTCAGTGATGAAACATGCTTTTGTGCAGCTGTATGTGTGAGTGTCTGATACTGAGTTAAGTTATGATACCGGTGCTCTCTAAACACACACTACACAACTTTCAAGGTTGTCAGATACTGTTCACACTAATCAACATGCTGTCAGCTTGTGATTTTCACGCTGTGTTACATGACTCACCATCAACAGGGGGGGGGTCACACACTTACAAGATCCTTCATCTGGAATCCCTGATGAGGTCTCAAAACTAGGTTTTGTCACAAAATCCCACGAGAAAAAATAACGCGGTCGCAGCGTAGTCGTGCCACGTGTTCACGTAACAGCCTGTTTCTACACATCAGTACTATTTTCCCTCTATAGATCAGTCACTGTGTTATCTTTACTCATGCAAGCATCCAACACTCTAGGTGCAATAACAACAACTGTGGTCCATGTTGCAGCACATAGCTCACACAGGTAGGCTTCAGGTGAGGTGACCCCTCCACCAGGTTTCCCCTCAACCGGCAGTGCGTTTTCATTGACTTTAGCTCCCCGACAGATCCAGATATTCACCGCTCTGGTCCGTTGTGACCTAAATAAACTGATAGCTACAACTTCGAATTGTATTATGTCATTAAAATATAAACTGCCTTTAATGTGGATGGGTCACATCACGGGCGAGTCCTCACGATAAGGTCCCAATAATTCCATGTATCCTTAACCAATTACATCAGTTAGAGTCCTAGTTTTGAGAGTGGTTTTAGTCAAGAAATTAACAGTTTAGATTTGAATGTGGTCCACTTTTAAAAAAAACTTGCGGAGATGTAAATGTCTGTAAGTAAAACAAACAGGCTGCGTTGTGTGTGATATCAGATTCGGGTGTATTTTAAATGTCCATGTGGGATAACAAGACTTCTTCATGCTCTTCTTGGTCAACTAGCCTAAGTTCAAGAGCACACATTTGTTCTCGGTGTTCTCTGTATTGTTTTTTACTTGACTGCTGTTCCTGCTCTCTCCAGATGGGGGAGCTAGTGACTCTGAACGTGGGCGGCTGCCTGTACAGCACGTCTCTGTCCACGCTGCAGCGCTACCCTGAGTCCATGCTGGGAGCCATGTTCGGAGGAGACCTCGCGACCGTCAGGGACGCTCGAGGAAACTACTTCATCGACCGCGACGGCCCGCTGTTTCGGTGAGTGTGTGTGTGCAGCTAGCGGATCAAGCTAGCTAACTTTCTCCAGGATACAGGGACACAAAATGGATTTGGTTTTTTTTTAACCGAAAAAAGAAAAGTGATTTTTTTTGCTTTTACTTTTTAAAAGGTCCTCCTCAAAGCACCATCACAACCCAACTGTTGCCCCGTCCAACTTGACCAAACATCAGCCCAGCTTAATTTGCACAAAATAATACATCAACAGTCCATCATGACTGCAGTTTAATTTTATGAATGTTGCAGCACCAAATACAAATCATATAATCTTTATGAGCCCATAGTGAAGCGTGCATATACGATACAGAAATTGTGTCACCAAGAGGAACAGACTGGCTCACTGTGGACCAATGGGAAAGAGATAGAGAAAGAGTGTCACAGTAGAATCTCCATCTCCTAACGAGCGTCAGTGGCTTCTTACTCTTTGCTATTATTATCATTATTTGGGAAGGTGGTCCTTAGGACATTTGTAAACAATCAGAAGCAGGCCTTAAGTTACAAAAGGTGACCTTTATTCATAACTATAGTGACCAGCTGATTTCGGAAATGACTGAGTCTTTATAAACTATGTATTTGTGAGCTGTTTTCAAAGATTTACATTCTCGGTTGGAACCAAGAGGGTTGAAAACCACAGACGGGGCACGAAACACGGACTGTATATAAGAAGTGGACATAGTCACCATGACGTCACCCATTGGTTTGTGGACTGCCAAGATGCCCTAAAGCATACTCTGCTTAATGGTCTATTTGACTCTAAATGGACCATAATTCACTAAATGAACATCATGCTGTATTGAAGAAGACTTGAAACTAGAGATTGAGACCATACACTCATGTTTACAATGTTTACTGAGGGAATAAATCAATACAATCTGTCTTCTTTTTGCAACCAGAGGAGTCTCCCCCTGCTGGCCGGTAGAGAGAATGCAAGTTTAAGACACTTCAGCATTGGCTTCACTTTTCAGAAAACGGAAGTTGCCGCCTGGTAGGGAAGTAATAAACTATTGAGAGATGTCAGAAATAGTGAAACAAACTTTCTCACTCTGGAGTTGTACAGGAGCTCTCTCCCCTCCCATCCTGACTTTGACTGACAGTTCAGACTCTTCCCGAATCATCAACTCAGCAGTCTGGACTGATCCCGTCTCTGTTTCTGCTGTTTCAGCTACATCCTCAACTTCCTGCGGACGTCTGAGCTGACGCTGCCATGCGACTTCAAGGAGGCCGAGCTCCTCAGGAAGGAGGCGGACTTCTATCAGATTGAGCCCCTGATTCACTGTCTAGGAGACCCCAAACCCCTGCTGCCCTACCCCACTGATACCTACGAGGAGGTGGTGGAGCTGTCCAGCACCAGGAAGCTGTCCAAGTACTCCAACCCCGTCGCAGTCATCATCACCCAGCTCACCATCACCACCAAGGTCAGTGGAGATACATACTGTCTGTGGAGATATCATGGCAGAATATTCTGTGATACCAAAACCTAATTATATGCATTATAATCTTATTTCTATTGAGGTATTTCAGTCCAGGTTCATAGATTTGGTTCTTGTCTTAATGGGCACATTCACATCTAGACATTTATATACTTTCATTCTGACAAGAATATACTTTTAAAATTGATTGTTCTATGAGATCAGTGTATGTACATGATTCAACGGTCAATCTATATTGTGCTGCACATCAGTTAATTTGATTGATGGAGAGCATTTAGATATTGATTTTTTACCGTTTACTTTGTTTTTGAAAAATGGTAAGTCAGTAACATTTGTGTTGGAAAACAGGAGCTCAGTCTGGGCCAGTCGATGAAGTCTAAACTACTGCTCCAACACTTAGTCTATTCTGTTATTTTGCTGCTATTGGTGTCCCGAAAGTGTTCGAAAGGAATCACTGGAAGCGGTCACAGTTTGATGCGATAGAGTTTATTCTTTGAGCAAGAAGTAAACCCGAACAGACCCCAGAGTCCAACTGATTTCCCTGTGATTTCTCATATATACTGTAGTTCCTCCTTCTGGGGCCAATGCGCCACCTTTATTTTTAAACTCCTCCTTTGTTGTCCTGAAAAAATGGTGTTATATTTTATGGTCCCATCCAAGTTTCACTTTACTAACAGTGTCATGAAAAGTCCCAGACTTCTCAGACAAGTTCAGGCATGTTTTTTCCTGACGCTATTATTTTCAGGCGATTCCAGAGTGCCTTTTTAAAAAACTTTTAAGTGTTTTCAAGTTATACACTGAATCAAACAGGTTATATGTTAAATTGTTAGATCGTACTACATTAAGACTAGTTCTGATATACTGATTTCATAGATGTGTGCTTAAAACATTGAATATATTTGATAGTGCTGGCTTACTCTGACAAACTTCAACATCTGCAGGTTGAAACTTGCAGTAAAAGTAAATGTTTGTACATAATTTCTGTCCTTATTTATTTGTTTGGATATTTTTTTTTTTTTGCTACTTTTTATGGTGGGAGGTCAGCACATTTAATTGTTTTATCGCTGAAATTTATTATTATTCCTGTGTGTGTTTTTTACTTTGGGATTGGGTGACATGACAAAATATAGCATGAGATGATAAAAATGTGTCCCAAATGTTTCAATAACATTCATACTGTAATATATGTCCCTTTAATACAGTATATCTGGTTGTATGAGATAATTGTAGACAAGGTCACAAATCAATGAGAAATAGATTTATGAAAGTATTGGATTTGTGTGTTAATGTGATGAAGCACCTTGATTTCTAAGGTATTTTATTTCCTGGTTTAGCAGACATTCCTGTCTGTTTGTTTTGTCCATAAATGTTTGATTTGATTGACATTGATTGACAACACATTTTTCTATTGACCTTGAATGGTTGAATTAAGCATTGAGCTTGAATGGTTTAGGTTAGGCATTAACCTCTATATGTTTAAGGTTAGGCATTGACCAAAATCATTAAGGTTAGGCATTGACTCCTATGTGTGAGGAGATGGACCAACGAGGCAAAGCTGGAGTTACAGTCCTGCTTTGTCTGCACTGTTTGGAATGTTTTTGAGGCTGCTGCTACAGACCTGGATGAGCTCACTGTCACTGTGACATCATACATCAGTTTTTGTGAAGACATATGTGTGCCGACTAAAACCTTCTGCACGTATAACAACAATAAACCCTGGTTCACTGCAAGACTCAGGCAGCTTCGTCGGGCTAAGGAGGCCTACAGAAGTGGGGACAGGATCCTGTACAACCAGGCCAGGAACACACTGACGAGGGAGATCAAGGTAGCTAAGAGGAGCTACACTGAAAAGCTGGAAAAAATGTTTTCAGCCAACGACCCCTCGTCAGTGTGGAGAGGCCTGCAAGTATTCACTAACTACAGGAGACCACCCCACCCCCCCACTGAGGAGAATCACCAACTGGCTGACAACCTGAATGTCTTCTACTGCAGGTTTGGTAAGCCCACTTTCACACCCCCCAACTTCCCAGTCATCAAACAACCAACTACACCCCCTGCCTCCTTCTCACCTCTCCCAACCGACCCCCCCACCGGCACTGAGGATCTGCGAAGAGGATGTGAGTCGGCTCTTCCACAGACAGAAGATCTGGAAGCCACCGGGCCCAGTGCAGATCTTCAACTGATCACTGGAGCTGTGTGAAGTCCCCTCATGCTTCAAACACTCCACGATCATCCCGGTCCCCAAGAAATCCTCCATCACGGAATTAAATGACTACAGGCCCATCGCCCTGACGTCTGTGGTCATGAAATCCTTTGAGAGACTGGTGTTCTATTTGTGGACTTCAGCTCAGCATTCAACACCATCATCGGAGGTACTTCAACCTAAACTCTCCCAGCTCACTGTGCCAGCCTCCACCTGTCAGTGGATCACAAACTTCCTGACTGACAGGACGCAGCAGGTGAGGCTGGGAAAAAGCCCCCCAGGGATGTGTGCTCTCCCCACTGCTCTTCTCCCTCTACACCAACGACTGCACCTCAAGGGACCCGTCTGTTAAACTCCTGAAGTTCACAGACGACACAACGGTCATCGGCCTCATCAGGAACGGGGATGAGTCTGCATACATGCGGGAGGTTGAACAGCTGGTCCTCTGGTGTGGTCAGAACAACCTGCAGCTGAACGAGCTCAAAACTGTGGAGATGACAGTGGACTTCAGGAAGAACCCCCCAACACTGACCCCCCTTACTTATACTGTCCATAGTTGTTAAATTTGTATACCTACATCTGTTCTACTTATTTTTGTTGCCCTTGTTTTAGTTTTTATATTTTTTTTTCTTGTTTATTGTAAACTTGTACGTTGAGAGCGAAGTGGAAACCGGAGTCAAATTCCATGTATGCGTACGCATACATGGCCAATGAAGCTGGTTCTGATTCTGATTCTATATGGTTTAGGTTAAGCATTGACCTGGAATGGTAAAGGTTAGACATTGACCTGGAATGGTTAAGTTTAGGCATTGACCTGGAATGGTTAAGTTTAGGCATTGACCTGGAATGGTTAAGTTTAGGCATTGACCTGGAATGGTTAAGTTTCGGCATTGACCTGGAACGGTTTAGGTTAGGATAGGTTGTCGTTTTTCTTTAAATTGTAGGTAACCATTTAGACACAACCAGTAGTCACATGACTCTCTTCTTCTTCTCTAGGTCCATGCAATGTTGGAGTCGATCTCAAGCAGTTTCACAAAGTGGAACAAACACATGATGGACACCAGAGACTACCAGGTGTCCTTCACCTTTGGACCATGTGACCACCAACAGGAAGTCAGCCTGCGTGTCCATCTGCTGGACTTCATCTCCAAAGCTGTACGTGGCTTTTTATCTCGTCTTTAACATCATGTGTAGAAATGTTCCTACTAAAAGACACTCTTAAGATCAGTCGGAGTACTCTAACTTCTGACATCAACACCATATAGCTTATATTTTAAATAATAGTAACATTATAACTCAGTCTGCCTGTCTCATTGTTTTCCAGGGTTTCACAATACGGAACACGCGTGTTCACCACATGAGCGAACGGGCCAATGAGAACACAGTAGAACATCACTGGACGTTCTGCAGACGAGTTCACAGAGTGAACGACTGACAGAAGAACAGATGGTTGGACTTACTGACGTCATCGCTGTGTCAACAGACACACATACAGACAAATAGACAAGAGACTTGTTAGTGGTGGCTTTGTTGTTATGTGTTCATATTTTGTATGCATGTGATGTTTTTTTAATCAAAGGGAAGTCTTTTTAGGAGGTCATTTTTTGGAAAGTGAGGTCATTTTTGACTCGTTAATATTTCCCTCAGACCAACGTGAGGTTTTTGGAAGGCTAGCAAATTAGAAACATGTGGTACATTATGGTGAGATGTTTTGTTTTTGTTCAACTATCACATATAGCTGCAATGTTCCGGTAAAAGTATGGCCACAGTATGTATGTAGCTATATACTGTATATCTAGCATATCATCACAAATCTGTTGTATATCAATGACTAGGAAATTATATTATTTCCAAATAAAACAATCTGGATGATTATGATCTTTTTTTTTTTTTACCCACCCTCAGTTCTTCTTTTGTCCACCATTCTCACAGAAATGGACCAACTTTTGACCAATTGAAACTAAAGGTTCCGCCTCCCGCACGATGTTATTGATGGGGACAAAATCCACAATTCACAATCTGTTCAATAATGTATTCAAAAGTTTATTTGAATCTCAAATTAAGTTTATGAGACTTGTTGGTGGCTTTGTGTTGCTTTTTGAATCATAATGAAGTATTTTTTTCTTTTTGGAAAATTAGGTCATTTTGGAAAGTGAGGACATTTCTTGGAATGAAGAATTTTTTTGCTGTTTTTGAAGAATTAAGTCATTTTTGGACAGTAAGGTTATTTTAGGAATGTGAATACATTTTTGAAAGTGGTAAAATTTTGGGAAAGTTATGATTTATCTGGAAAGTGAAGTTGTAGGAAAATTTGGTCATTTTTGGAGGGCGAAGTCATTTTTGCAAAAAATTTAATTTTTGTAAAATGAATACTTCAGTAAGTTAAGACATTTTTAGAGAATTAAGAAATATTTGGAAAGTGAAGACATTTTTGGAAAATGTGGTCATTTAGGGAAAATTAAGAATTATTTCTGACAGTGAAGTAATTTTTTTAAAACATGAAATCATTTTTGGGAAATTTAGACTTTTTTTGGAGACTTTTCCAAATTGAATAGGGATAACTGGGTAAATATAAAATTAACATGTAGATATATTGTCATTGACACATCTGTGTTCTTTGAGGTAAATTTGACCCCAGGCTGTTTTAGCTTTTTAAAACATTTAACACACATTTGTGTAGGTTGTTTTGGTTGATACTGAGGTCACTTTCACATGCAATTTTGAAATCTTTCGGCCCTAACCTGCCATTACCATGCCTGTAGGAGTGTGAGAACCCCTTAATATTTCCTACACTGTGTGGTGGGGGAAATATGTTGCTGTGAGAACATTTATTGTTCACTCAACACCGGAGATGGTCAAACATATAAAAGCTTGCACAGCAGGCTTGTAAACCATCTCACTCGGTGCTCTGTGTGCTATCTTTATGCTCCGCATCAATAGAAAATGACCTCAAAGCAAAGTCCTTTGACAGTGAAAGTGACATAGAAGAGAGTCTGAGACTGAGAGTAATGTTGAGGAGGACCTTGGTTATGAGGCATCTTCTGATGAGAATGATGCTCTTGGGGTTGACCCTCCTGTTGTCTCTCAACCACCAGCAGATGCTGTTCTTGCTTGGCCTCCAAAAGTGGACATGTTAACTTCCAGAAATGGAAAGTTATGGTCCTTCCTACTTGAACTGTATTGGGACAGTTGGACAGACTTGGATGTGACCCACTTGCAAGCTTACATTGGGTTGTTCATTTTGGCAGGAGTGTCTAAGTCAAAAGGCAAAGCAACAACAAGCCTTTGGAATGCTGCAGCCACCATGTCTCTGAAGACTTTCCATGCTTTTCTTCTGCTTTGTGACACACTCACAACGATACAGGATGTATGGGCCATGTGTGCCCTGCAATTGTCCTTTCTTTACAATCCAGGCCCTCAGACAAACTTTAGATGAATGTCTGGTTGTGTGTTGTGGGCGCAACCAGAACAAATTCGGTATCAAAATGAAGGCAGCGTGTAATGCACAGTCCAGCTATGTCTGGAATATGCAGATGTACACTGAGGAAACCCCCCTGGGGTAAGAACTAAAGAGAATCGGGGCATGAGTGTGTTGATGTTTAGGTGTGAAAAGGAAATACCAGGAAGCCCAGTTTGAGAGATTCATCCTTGAGTTTGAAGATTTTTCAGATGGCAAATCACTGCACATCAAACTGCACAGAATCAAGCTGTTTGCAATATTACATTACAAATTAATCCACTGAGAATGTGAGCTTGCTCAAGTCACCGTTGACACAGTCATTTTTAACAGTTTGATGTATTTGTATATAAATAGACTATAAACAACCTAGGAAAATTTGCAATGGTACATTTTTTTGTGTTTCACAAAAGTTTAGGTAAATTAGGCAGAGGTGTCAGCCTGTCACTGTCACAAGCCTCTTTCATTACCAACAGACAAAACTCTGTTTCTTCGACTCAATCCCAATCTCCATACTTACAGACTCACGGATTTTGAAGAACATTCCCAAAATGTCCTTGAGGGCTTCGGGCCGTCCCACTGTCAAATCATCAAATCAAGTGTTTGAGGGCTTTCTCAAAGAGTCTCAAAGTCATGCAGACTTACATAAAGTGTGCATAAAGGGTGAGTCCTTTATGCAGACTTTATGTAAGTTTGCATGTCTGCCGACTGCCTTAGGGAGTTACCCACAATTCATAGCAATGTAACACCAAACACGGGTATATTACACACCTGGTTACAAGTTGCAGGTTTTTTTTTCTGTTTTGACAAAAACAAGTAAATAGATTGGTTGACAAATACCTCTCTTCTCATGAGACAAGAGCCTGAGAGAAGTTCAAATCAGGCAGTAAAAACGTGAAATAAAAACCCACAGCTGTACATGACATGTTTTGCTGTCGTTGGGAAATGTGATATGTCGCTGCAAAGTGCTGTCACAATGGTATTTATACCATTCCAAGCCCTTGTAGCCCTTGTAGCCTCTCACAGGTGACGTCAGTTAAATCCCAGAGGATTCAAGCCTTGAGGCTTTACGGGGGACCAGGCGGAAACATCTGGTTCTAAAAAGGGAAGCCAATGCTGAAGTTTGTTAAACTTGCATTCTTTCTAATGGCCATCAGGGGCCGACTCCTCCGATTGCAAAATAAGTCTGGTTGTATAGAAGTCTATGAGAAAAGAACTCTACTTCTCACTTGATTTATTACCTCAGTAAACATTATAAACATGAGTTTACGGGCTCAATCTCCAGTTTCATGTGTTTTTCAATACAACATGATGTTCATTTAGTAAATGATGGCCCATTTAGAGTAAAATAGACCATAAAATAGGGTGACTATGTCCATTGTTTGTATTTTTCTTACATCACTTGGCTAAAGCCATGCCTGCAAGAGTATCCCGATTTCTTTCGATGTACTCCAGCTAGCGTATTAGCATTTCCCATAAACGGGACAAGGACTTATCCTGGTTTCTGAAAACAGGATATGATGTTAACGTGTGTCAGAGTCGGCCTTGCAAGATTAGGACTGTTTACTGATTTAAAACAGTCCTAAAAAATGTTCAACCGTTTTTTTAAATTTTATTTTTAGAAATTTGGAACACCAGCATTGTTTCAACGAAGTACAGTCATATTATTTAGTTGACAGCAAAAATACATTGAAGTGTACAGTTATATCCTGTTGGGTAATATATCTTAATTTCTTGATTTACATTGTGTTACTAATCTAAATCTGCAAAGTAACTAATAACTAATGTTGTCAAATAAATGTTGTTTGAATTAAATACTTGCTGACAAAAACTTGGTAGTGTGGTAGAAGTATAAAATTGTACTTACAGTACTATACAGTACTTGGCTAGCCTTTATTTCGCCACCGATATCACTGGGATGGTTGGTTGCAAAGAGTTTTAGTCACAGACACGGCATAAGCCACGCCCCCGTCTTGACGTCACAATTTACTTAGGCTTCACGGTTGAGGGGGGACTCAGTTTTTTACTTTTTAAAATAATTATTGTGATATGAAATAAAACATGTTTTTGTTGTCTTGTATTTTTGTTGTTGTTGTGGATTTTGTTTCAGACATGATTTATTATTTTTTTTTAACACAATAATATTTTTCAGTCACTTGCGCCCGTTCCCCACCCCCACCCCCTCGGAGAACAGAGCCCGCCCTCCTCTCCTCTCTCCCCGGCTGCCTCCGCCTCTCTCTCCCTGGTCTGTCATCCACACCGCTGTTGTTGCAGCCATTTTACCGTGTGGAGCGTCGGCGCAGCGGTGGAGGATGCCGAAACAGCGCCGTTAAAAGGTAATACCGCCTTTTCCCCCTGCTGTAGCACTTTCATTCACGTCGGTAACCTTCACGGTTCCGACTCATCAAATACATCCGATAATGTTTCGGAGCGAAGGGGAGGGCCTGGTCGGCCGGAAGGGCTTTAGGGAGCCTCTACAACTATAGCTGCCCAGACAGAGGACAGATTGCTGGGAGAGTGTTTGGCGAGCTCGGCTTGTCGGCAGTTCACAAGTCCGTGTGAAAAAAATGGCGACGTCTTTCATCAAACCACTGAAAGTTGTAAGTGAGCTTCTCAACGGCGGCTACTTGAGTAAATCTGACTACAGTTCGTGTTTCAGGAAAAATAAACTGAGTCTTATTGCCAGTTCGTGAAGGTGGGGGCGCTCGAGAGCTACGGAACCATGTAGCTTTGCGCACGTTTTTCTAGCTTAACGCTCATTGGCTAAACTGGTTTGTTTTGTTTTTAGCGTTTTTGATCTAAAAGTAGTGACACCATTATATGTTTCTTTGTTCTTGTCAGTTAAGACATAAGTGTGTTTGTTTTTGTTAGTTGTGTTGACCTGTAATAATCGCTAACCTATGAGGAAGCAACAAAGTTAGTGAGTTATCGTGGTTAGCGGTCAAATAATTTACAAGCTAGCTAGGAGGTCAACACCTGTTTACGCAATGAAATTATGTACAATCCCGACAGTAAAAAGCAATGTGACTCATCGGCTTTCTGATACGCCTCTGAAGGCAAGGGGCTATATTTCAGCGTAGCCAGAGGACATCTCGACCAAGACTTCATTTTCCGTACGCTACACGTTGCTAACAGTCCAACTAGCAACTTGAGATGTGAGACTGGAATTGAGACAACGTATACGCCCGGATTGTTTCACAAGTAGCCAGTTTACAAGATCACTTTAAGGCAATAAAATACTAAATTATTGTCAGATGGAAACCAGAATACGTCCGATACCTAAATCTTGTCCAGTTGCCTGTTGTTAACTGAGTAGAGCTTGTATGTTCCCGGTTGACCAACATGTCAGTTTTTACGAACAAGCCTTACAGTTCCTGGGACACCAAGGCTGTATTTGAAATCACAGACTAACGTACTGCATACTAAATACTCTATCTTTATATTTTATACTGCCTACTAAGTTAACGATTCAGTATGCCATTACCAGCAGACTGTTTACATTCAAGTAAAATCAAGCAATACGTCTACACATTGATCACGGTGTTAGCTAGCTAGCTAAACGGCTGGCTAGCTTCCGTGAATAAAAATTGTTCATTATAATGAAAATCAACATTAAATATTTTAGTGTTGAATATTTGTTCTACAGTATATTATGTGAGCTGTGTTTTTCCTCTTTAGCTGTACCTTTTCGTCCCTTGCCATCATTTTGTAATTATTTTATCCAGCGGATTAGGTCAATTTTATGTCGCACGTAGTATGAATAGTATGTCAATGTTTTGTTACGTCCCGAGCTATAGTTGTTCTCCAACGTAGGTCACCAAGCATCTTAATGCAGCCTATTTCTCAAAGATGCAAGGATACATTTTGCCATGCTACTTTTTGGTCTGATAGGGCCTGTAGACAGGTTTCTTGTCAACAAACAATCCAGGATAATCACACCGACTTGATAGTAATCTGGACCAGACCGTGATTCAGAATTTGACCTCTAGATGTCAAACGTGACTCAGCAGCAGCTCCACCAAAACTCGGAGGAGGAGCTTGTCACTAAAATGAGAATAGCTGGTCCACTTTAAAGGTCAGCCCACCTTACCTGGGTTGAGGTTGACGTTAACTTTGGGGCTAACCCTCTTCAATTAAATCAGATGGTGGCAACCAAGACACGGTGACTTGACTTGGGTGTTGGAAGAGTTGTAGCATTTATTCACCAACAGCCCACGCTTGATCTCTTGACTGAACACTGCTCGCTAATGTTATGGTCTGCTGTTTTTTTGCAATACACTGGCTGGCAATAAACAGTCTTGTCTCGTCGCCCCCCAAAAAACATGAACTTTCTGGTTAACAAACAAAATGTGCACCACTTCCCCAGAATCAGCAATTTAATCTTAAGGTCAATACACACTGAATTTAGCGCCATGGTGCTGTTGGAACAGTCTGCTGATGTCGACTGCTTTTTTTATTTTGCCTCAACATGTCATAATGACAAATGCTGCTTGGCATAAAATCAAACTGTTGTGAGTTTGTACACCTGAACGGCGAAACCGCAAATTGATTCCTGTATTAAGAAAATGAAGTAACTTGTCAGAGACTGTTTTTAAGGCCAAATTATTGCAGCTCTTCTGGCTAGCTAACATGGTGCGTACTCCAGTGAGAAGCAGCAGCTAGTAGCAAAGATAATTCTAACAGACTTTATAGGTTTATATTAAAACCCAGCGTTTCTTCCTCTCTGAAAGACGATCCACCACCTTCCAGTACTTTGCTCTGGTATAAATAGATAGTAAGATCTAACTGGGTTGGTTCAGTCTTGAAAATGAATATTTGCACCAATTACTTTTATGTTGTACAGTTTAAGTCACCAAAACAACTTTTATTACATTTCTTTTATGACATACTATATCATGACTTTTTTTATGACATACTATACTACACACTTTTTATTACTTAGTTTTATGACTAAATTATACATTTTATTTAAAGACCAGATTACTAAATAATAACGATTAACTCTTCACTTTGAACTTACCGGCTGGGTCAGTTTTGAGATAATGAATATTTCCACTTATTACTTTTTATTATTATATAATACCTCGGGAATACTTTGAGGTCAAATCTCGTCAACCATGATATTTACCGGCATTTAAGCCAGATTTTCGCCCTGAAGTGGTTGCCACTGGCTAATTTTAGAATTGGGTCAAAATTTATCTTGGTCGGTTGTCATTCGACAAACAGTTTGAGAGGGTCACGAGTCATGATGCCGTTACGATCAACGATCAGGCTCTCAGACTATCGGATAGATTTCCGGCTTGTCAGAAATTTGACGTTGGCCGTCTGTCAGTTTGAGCAGTTCCATGGTCTGAATTGCTATCATGACTGCTGTCAAAAGTTCCGTCATAAACTGTTGTGAGCTTGTTTTAATACGATTGTAGTAGTATTTTACATTGTGTGGCCAAAATTGTAGTCTTGAAACTGCTGTGATATGAAGTCGAACAGACGGACCATATTGTTTGCATCTTCCTATTTTCTGTAGAATTGGAGAGTGTCCGCTACCTTTCTCTCTCATTGTTGCAGAAAATATTTGATGACGTTAGAAAGTGTCTCTATTACATAGTTTGTCCACCAGAGAGAACCGACAAGTTTATTTGAACTGAGCAACTAAACTGTGGTGACATTTTAGTTTCTTTGTCCCTACAATCCAGCAAACGCATCACTTTGCCAGTTTTGTTAAGCTGTGTTTTATCCTGTAATTACGCTTTGCGACTAGTGTCGAGGTTGATTGTCTTTGATTACCACACTTTAAACTGGTATTTTGGTCGCTGTGAAATTGTACTCGATCCGATGAACAGGAATGAACACTTGAAAATTATGCTCCGTTTTGAGAAAAATTGTGGCGATTAAATTAGCAAACTAAAATGACAAACATCGCCCAAAACCACTGAAAAAAGCTAAAGCTTTGATCTGAACATTTGTTTGTTGATTTGTTTCCTTGAATGCGCCGCCATTGACGAGTGACTGCTGATTTATGAAGTCGAGTTATCTATGTTACCTCATCACTTCTCAACAATAACATAAACATGGTGGCTGCTGGCTAGAAGGGAGATCGAAGGGAGATTTAATTTTCACTAAATATCACTATGTAAAATGGGTATTTTCTGCTTTAAAAGAAGTTAGCAAGTACTACTCACCCATCTTTTAAATTGTTACGTCTCCAGTCTGATCTTGATTTCACAGCAGATCGGTATGTTGTTTGTTTACAACATTGCTCGCTGTTAGGACACAATGCCCCACTCTCTGTGTTCGAGTTCTCTGCCATCATTACAGTTATTGAATAATTCCTTGTTCAGTGTGATGCCATGTCGTGCTATGCCTAACAATTTAAAAACGATTGTGTCTACTTATTTTTTACCACTTGTCCAATCCGCCAGTCATTTTTTGTTTGCAGTGAAATTTTCTGATCTTACCAGACAGTTCAAATCATTGTTACTTAATTAATTATCTAGCACAATCTTGGTTTTATGTTTTTAACTAAAACTTTGCCATTACAAGATAAAAATGCACCAATTCTTATTGAGTCAACCCCTCCCAACAGCAGTTTTATGAACAAAGCTTGAGTGCGTACGGCAGGGAGTGAAGTCGCCATTTTGTTTAACAATGCCATGCAAGCAGATGCCTTACGGGGAAGTTTGCCTCTTTCCAATATGTTGCTCCTCAGTTGAATTCCTCATGTCAAGCTGCAATCTTGGGGCCTGTGTCTACATAGTGTTTTGTTTTTGTTTTGCCAGCGGCGTCTTTCGATTGTTCCAAATGAGGAGAGAAGGTATGCGGCCGCCTAGAGAAAAGTTGACGGCAGCACTAAAGAACTGTTGTAGTCTGGATAACTATGGACTGAATCAGCATGTGACATAATAAGGGCCACACTGAGGACTTTGTCATCTCAAAGGGTCTCAACATCGGACTAAAAGGTTGTGGTGGATGATGTTAGTCTTTGAGATTATTCATGTGTTTTCTTTGGGATGAATATCTCTGTTCGCACAAATCTTTAAATTATTAATTCAGGCTTTCTCTTCCTCACCGACCATCTTTTGGGTCTCAGCCAACAGTTTTTAGAGAATCGATTGTTGAGCCAATCGTCAGGGGGGCGTTTTTTTTTTTTTAATTCAATGAAATATTCTGCTTCAATCCAAATTTGTTTGCTTTCGTCTTTAATAAACAAAATTTTCACTGCAGTCTTAAAACGGTCTCCAGCTTGTACCAGCGAGGAATGCCCCTAATGTAGCGGACTAGCAGCAAAAACCAACAGCAACATAAATTACATTTAACCACATAACACAAAATGATATTC